ATGTAATTTTGAAATGATACCAGGACAAAAAATAATACCGGATTTTATAATTACAATGCGCACAAAATATGGTCTTTTAGCAAGAATTACTAGACGACACATAAATAGGAACTGATAATCATCCAATAGAATACATGAGTTTCTTTTTATATATCTATAATTCCATGTTTTTTAAATCATATTTAAAAGATGTGTTTAATCTACTTTGATATGAAGTTAAAATCTCTTGGAAGTTAATGATTGACAGATCCACGTGTCATAGAAAGGTCGAAAGCAGAAATATAGAAAAAACTAATGTCCAGTAAATGGTGACTCCACGCGCGCGTGATTTTTTCTGGGTGGGTGTGAATGAAGAGAAGAGCTACACTCCACAACCACAGCCATAGGTACACCCGTAATTGTAGTAATAACTGTGTTAACAAATGAATGTGAAATGAGTAAGAAAATATTTTCCTTGTGTTTTTAGTCTTAATTGGCGAATTATTTTCAGTGATTTTGAAAGATAGTGGATTTAACAGAGCACGTAGAGCTATCATACCGATAATCTCAATTACATAAGCTAAAGTACTTTTTGAATCATTTTCCACTCCGATATTTTTCTTTTCGACCTTTCTATGGCTAATCAATAGATCTATATTATTTTATTCAAACCAATAAATGTCTTTTTAATAACGATATTTTTTTAGAACAGTTTGATCTCATTCACTTCAGATTTTTTTCTATTTAAAACTATTGAAATATTTATTCGATAACGAAATTATAATTCATGATGCTTATAGTAGTCTATTAGCAAAAGTAAAATGTTTATTTTGAATTACGTTGGAAAAATGTATGAGCCAGATTCAATAAATAGAGAAACCCAATATTATCTGTATGTATTTCTTCAGTATAAAAGTGAATAGTTCTTGAAAAAATTCGATTATGTGGATTTCTCTTTGTTGTAATATATGACCAGTGTTTCAAGCCACTATCTATATTTTATCTGGTAGATATCGAAATAAAACTTCTTTGTTTTTGAAATTATTACACAGTTTTCAAAGAGGCAAAGCCATCGTTTTGAACTCAATGATTTAATTTATATTGGCAAAGATGAAAGTAACACAAATCTACAGCAAACAAAGTACTCATTATCGAAAAAGTCATATGCTCATCGAAAAATTTTTCGAAGGAAAACGCGGTTGATCGTATTTTTAATGAGACATGAAAGTCACACCGTTTATACATCGATACGTACCAGTCAAAACTGCGGCACATTAATACTATGCTTTTATCAGAAAATGTTTTTTGTGAATGTATGAAGTTTGAAAATAATTTCATTATAACATGTTTCTCTATACGAACATATCAAATTAGTTCAACTTTATTTCCTAATTAACAAAGTGCTACAAACTATACAAATTTTAATTTTTTTAGAAACGAAGTTTGTTAAATGAGAGAACTTATATTTCGTTTAGACACTTTTTTTCTCCGTGTTTCACATGATATTTTATAGACTTCATGCAGAAAAAGTACGATTTGAATCAAATTCAATAACATATT